CCAAGGAGGTCAGAAGAGGGCTTCAGATTCCCCTGGAACTAGAGTTAAAGATGGTTCGTAGCCACCATGCGGGTGCTGGGAATTGAACCCAGGTCCTCTGCAAGAGCGGTCAGCGCTCTTAACCGCTGAGCCATCTCTCCAGCCCCACCACTGACATTTTAAGGTTCACCTCAGCGTCAGAAGTCTCCCATACTAATATTTAAAATAGGATCATCTATGTAGCAGAGAAATTAATTTTATTTAGCAATGTAATTTGCAAAATGTAAAAGCATAAAAGTATCTGCTTTTTTTGCACAAGAAGTTATGAAGGAGAACCGTGTCCTTTATAGGCAGTTTTAGAGGTCCTTAATTCTGCATGTGGTTGTGCGCTTACTGTGAAAGGTTTACTTGTAGTTTCTACCATGCTCCTGAGCATGAAGTAGGGATTCATAGTTGAATCACAATCATTGCCCGGAGAGGCAAGGCTAGGATGGTGCCTCAGGAGTGCGCGTTAGACTCCACGGGCTCCCCTTGCTGTGTGGAACAGATGCCTTCTTTGGAACATGCCCACATCCTCTCTCAGCCTCTGTCCTAGTCTGACTTGGATGACTAGGGCAAAAACCCTCATCAGAAGCTGGCTCTTTGCTGCTGAGGCTCAGCTAGTGAGACTTCCAGGAACATCAGTGTAATAGTTCCCTTCTTGTCTACTTTCGTGGCATATTGTGTGTGATATCACACGTAAGTGTGTGATACACTGAAATGGCACAGAACGAAGACAAGGTGTCAAGGAAGGTCCAGCACTCTATTTCAAATAGTCCTGGACTGGTGTCTTATAGTAATGGACTTGAAAGACTATCTTGGGGGAATTGTTAGTCCGAGGGTCCTTGATTCCTCTCTGAGGTTGTGACGGGATGAGATGGCGCAGTGTAGAAAGGAAGCCCACGGGCTGCACCCTTATGTGAGGTCCCCATTTGGACTGTGCCTGTTTCCATGTGCGGCCCACTCTGTGGCCTCTGCCTTCCCTGTGCTCACAGAGTTAACCCCACCTCACCCTTTGCGTCTCCACACAAGCTTTGCTTCCTCAGCAATGAGTTCCCCGTCCAACGTAAGAGAGGCTGTCCAGATGTCTAATGGAAAGCTGGCTGAGTTTTACTAGATCGTCACCTCTCACACCCTGTCCTGATGTTATTGGCTCTAGGAGGACGACAGCTAAGTGCGGTTCCCTTCATCATTAAGCCCCCTCAGTCAGAAGAGATGCTCAGAAAACCTGTTTCCACTGAATTAGTGAGTCAGGATCCTGGATCTACTGCTTCTTAATTGTGTGACTGACTCCACTAGCTACTTAATATTTCTAGTGTTATGTTTCCACAACTTTAAAGTAAAATAATTACAGCATCTGGCTAGGAGGATTTTTAGAGGTTGTTAAATAAAATGAGGCATAGGAAAGGCTGAGGGACTTTGTGCATAGAAAACACAGAGTAAAGCCGTAGCTGATGTGAAGATGACGGAGGCAAGGCACTGGGTGGCCCTGCTGTTCCCTCCCCTGTGACCGACCTCAACACAGGCACCTGCCTTTGAGGAAATTTTTAGATCTCAGTGGAGCACAGGGAAGCCATAAGGAAAGCCTGCCCCTGTGCGTTATGGCTCTGACTCTCATAACCCAGGAGTCCCTTGGAATGATTTATGGGATTTGTTTATGTGCACGTACTTTTCTTGGAGATTTTTTGTCATGTTTTCATTGTCTCAAAGATGATAGGTTTGCTTGGAGTAAAGTGTTCATCTTCATAGCAATCACCGGGCATAAGGGAATGGACTGCTAGGTCTTGTGATCCCCCTGGGTCCGGGTGAAATGGCTATAAAAAGGAAGGGGAAACCCTTCATAAGTAGGCAGAAAACAAGCAGCAATGTCCTAGAGGAGCTAACAGATCCTATTTAATGGATGGATCTATGGATCCATGTCATAATGGATATTTGAAAGCAGACAGCGGAGATATGAACTTCCTTCTGCATTTGAAACTCGTACAGGTCAAGATCGCCTACGTGAACTTTGTTAACCACTGTTACGTTGACACCGAAGTGGAAATGAAGGAGATTTACACGAGTAACCACATTTGGAAATTGTTTGAGAACTTCTTGGTGGACATGGCGAGGGTAAGTTCCCTGCCCCCACTAAAGCCTCTTGCTGTGGTGTCAGGTAATCAGTCTATGTTTTTGATTCAACTCTGAATACCTAGATAAAAATTTGCAGTTAAACCAACTACATTTTGATTCAGCCTGTCTTATTCATGAAGTCGTGAATGAGTTCCATGAGATTGTGAGTGAGATTTAAAGAGTTAATATAAATAAAGTACCTAGTCTGGTATGCACAGTGTCAGGCAAAACATTCAGCTTATACCTTTATTAACGACTATGCTTGTCTGTTCTTAAATGGACTTTTAGTGGCCTTGCTACATTGGCTAGAGGAGACATTTGGCAGAGTCGTCTGTGTTTAACCTCTTCCCGTGGATGTACTTAAAACAACAGCTGCAGGAGGCCTCAGGTGGTCTAGCCTGGTCTTGTCAGGATGTGTTCCTGTAGATGTACTTAAAACGACAGCTGCAGGAGGCCTCAGGTGGTCTAGCCTGGTCTTGTCAGGACGTGTTCCTGTGGATGTACTTAAAACGACAGCTGCAGGAGGCCTCAGGTGGTCTAGCCTGGTCTTGTCAGAACGTGTTCCTGTGGATGTACATAAAACGACAGCTGCAGGAGGCCTCAGGTGGTCTAGCCTGGTCTTGTCAGGACGTGTTCACGATTGTGTATTCAGCCTCCCTTGGAAACACATTCTAGTCATTTCATCAACTGGCTTTTTTGCTCGTGTCTGAAGAATTATCTTCTGCTTTTACTGTGAGTTCATTTCCTCTTGTTGTTTCTACTGGGGTGGAAGCCTGTGGTACTGGATGGCATTGTATGGACACTGCCTGGCTTATGAGTTGACGCTGTGGAGAGTCAATAATAAGTGAATGAGGAGAGGTTATCATTGAATTCTCTTTCTGTGTTGGCTTTTCTTTTGCATAATGAATTATTATGAATGCCCAGGGGTCAATTATTTTATTATATACTCATATAAGACCATATCTATCTATCTATCTATCTATCTATCTATCTATCTATCTATCTATCTATCTATCTATCTATATCTATCTCTCTCTCTCTCTGTCTATATATATATCTATCATCTATCTATCATCTATCTATCTATCTATCTATCTATCTATCTATCTATCTATCTATCTATCATCTATCATCTATCTATATGGTCTTATTGAGTCAAGGTGTCCCTGTAGCCTCAGCTTGTCTGGAACTCACTATGTAAACCAGGCTGGTCTTGAACTCACAGAGATCTGCTCGCCTCTGTCTCCCGAGTGCTTGGATCAAAGGCATGTGCCACCACGCCTGGCCTATTTTCTATATATTTAAGACAAGATTTCATTCTCTATTCGAGGTTGGCCTGGAAGTATGTAGTCCAGGCTAGCCTCAAGTTCAAAGCAATCATCCTGCCTCAGTCTCCCAAATGTAGGGATTACGGGTGTGAGCCACCAAACCTGGTCTTATTATTTTAGTTTAAAAATAATCTTTAGGGGCTGGAGAGATGGTTCAGTGGTTAAAAGCACTGGCTGCTCTTACAGACAATACAGTTCGATTCCCAGTACCCACATGGTGGCTAGCAGCCATCCAAAACTCCAGTTCCAGGGGATCCAACATACTCTTCTGTCCTTCATGGGCATTGTATGACACGGTTTCACTTACTTACATGCAGGCAATATTTGCATACACATAAAATAATAATAACAGTGATTAATAAGTAAAATATTTTTGAAAAATCATTAGTTTTCTCTTTAGAGCTGTGAGACATGAAACTCAGATAAAGATTTTTCTAGAGAAGGTAGTGTATAGATAAGTCCTTAGGCTTGAATTATGGTGACCTGAACTTGCATGAATTATGGTGACCATCTGTTGTCCCTTTGACCCTCTGACTCACCCAGGGCTGGTAGGGTATGGAGGCCCTGTGTAGATGTGTTTGGAGGGACAGGATCAGTGAGGCCCTTATTCCATAAACTTACACGAGATCATCCCATTTCATCCCACGTGTTGCGTGCCATTTATATTTGTTCCCACCGGCCTTATGAAAACCTTGTGAGCTGCAAGAGTCTCCTGAGTCCTTGAAGCGCACGATGATTTCTGGGCCAGTGACTGAGCTTTAAACTGCACGTGCAGGCGCATATTAAGGAGATCACACACTGATCCGCAGAGTTGCCCGTCAGTGGCCGAAGATAAGGTTGAGAAGGTCCAAGGTCACATTCTCAGCAGCATGAGCCGTAAAGCAGAAAAGTATTTTAGTTTCTAAACCAAGAAAAGCCTAGGACAGCTGCCCTTGGAAGCTCTCTTTCCATTGATAAATTCGGGGGGGGGGCGGGGCAAAGTGTAGAGGTTGATGGTTTTTGAAAGCTATTGGGGTAGGAAATTTCGCTTTACCAAATTAGGTCAAGTGGGTAGTGGTGACTCCTTATACGAAGGCGCTGGGGCTTCCTCGGTCTCCCTGTCTGTCCCCTGTGCAGCTTAGCTGTCCTGCACGTTTGTGTTCCTTGATTCTTCTCTGTATCGCAGAGCAGCGGCCCTTCACCACGCCAACCGGAAATCACCTGTCCTGTTTCAGGGACTTCCCTCCTGGGCTTCTCTTCTCCCCTGAAGAAAGATTAAGGGAATGCAGTGACACCTAGGCCAACTTCCCCTTCAGCTTGCTGGGCTCTGCTTCCCAGTCCCTGGAGACAAGGCATTTTAAACAAGTTCTTAGGTGGCACTGCAGCTGCTGGTCCTGGGGCCTCCCTTTGAGAGTCACCGTAGTGGACAGTGATGGCCAAGAACAGAGATTTCAAAGGAACTAGTCAGAGCCAAGTTCAGGTCCAGACTCTGCCTTTCTTTAAGTAGCTGCTTATGTGGGGCTGGCACACAGCCCTTGACCCCAAGTTTCCTTACTGATAGGAGAATACAGCAGCAATACATTTTCTTGGGGGCTCTGGGAAGATTCCGAGAGATAATACACATGAAACTGTCGTTTCATTTTGCACCTGTAAGAGGGTTGGTGACCTTATATCATCATCACCAGAGTTACTACAAGGCTGTAAGAAGCTTCTAAACCCTGAACCACATAATATTGAGGCTAACACAGAAGGAAACTGTCCACACAGGCAAGAGCCAGGAATTGTGTTCATGCGGTCACACATGCATGAGGCTGGGCATACATGATTATAAACCTTCATGGCACCAGACTGGTACGGTGCCAGACATGGCTGAAGCTGGACATGACTTACGCTGGAACTGTTTAAAGCTGAATGTACATGATGCTGGACATGCACAAGGCCAGACATGCATGGTGCTAGACATGTATGAAGCAGCACATGCATGGAAACGGGCAGCTATTAAGTCAGACATGCATGAAATGGGACATGCATGAAGGCAGATATTCATGAAGCAGAGCATGCATGAACGTGGACATGCATGAAGGTGGATATGCATGAAGGCATGCGTGAAGATAGACATACATGAAGCCAGGCATTCATGAAAGCAGACATGCATGAAATGGAACATGCATCAATGGAACATGCATGAAAAAGTACAAGCATGAAGGCAGGTACACATGAAGGTAGGTCTACATGAAGCAGGACATGCACAGACGCATACATGCATGAAGGTGGACATGTGTGAAGCCAAGTATGCATGAAGGCAGGCATGCGTGAAGGTGGCCATGTAAACAGCAGTTGATATAAATCGCCGCAGAGGAAACGATTCTGATTCAGGTGCTCACAACAAAATTGTGGCATCTTGGAGCAGCTGGTTTACATCAGCAAGATGTGGTGACGAGAAACTGGAGGAGAGCGGCTGTGCGAGCTGCGTCTAAGACACCGGCACTGAGGGCTGGCAGAGAACAGCCACCGGGTCAATGTAAAGTCCGCTCTTAATTCCAGCACACCCAAACATTTCTAGTAACAATGACATTACTACTTCTGACATGCTTTGCTTTTATTTCTGCACAGTTTAAATGATAAAGGCTCTTATATGAGTCAAAGTTTTCATTTTTATAATTTTTACCTTGATTTTGCTTTTGTAGCAGGATGGGGCTGTTCAGCTCAGCAAAGATGTAGCTGTTACCAGGAGTAGTGTGTTCTCCAGGTCCACCATGAAATTACAAGTCATAAGACTTATGGAACTTACCAACTTCTAGACAAGCCTCCTAGTTCTGCTTATAGGTTCCAGAGACATAATTTGCTAGTTCATTATCTTGGCTTGATGCCAAATGGAAGAATTCTCCTCCAACAGCTTTGCAAACCCAGCTGTCTGGTCTCCCAGTGTTTTATCCATGGCTCACCGGTTCCTCTCTCAATGTGGTGTCTAGGATCCTGGTTTCCATGTATTTTGGATCCCCTTTCATCTGAACTAGAACATAGTAACCCATGAGGGTCCAGTCTGCACAATTGTATTTCGGGACAAACTTGGAGAGCAATTAGTTTCAAAGAGGATTGAAAGATCAACACATGTGGTGACCTCCCCTCCCCCTTCTCCCTGGGTTTCTGTATTCACCACCAGGTCTTTTGCTTGTGAGCAATGCCCTCCGGTGCCACCCCTGTCTGTCTCTTTTATGCTCCTGTATGTGCATCTTGTCTTTTGTCTTAAGACTCACGCAAGGCAGATGGCAAGATAACTCAGTGGGTAAATGTGCCTGCGGCCAAGCATCATGACCTGAGTTCAACCCCTGGAACCTCCATGGTGGAAGGAGAGAACTGATTACTGCAAGTTGTTAAATCAGTGTAAAAACTTATTTAAAAAGATCCACATTGCTGATGGGGAATTGGGATGCAGACCGCTCTGGATTCTTCCATGCTGAACAGGGACACAGGGTGAGGCAGTTGGGGTACCCCTTCAGTGGACTCCCAAATTGCGTAACTTTTAACTCTAGGGAGAAAAGAAAGTCTTTGATGGTGAATGGGAGATGTAAAGGGAAAGTGAAGGCAAGAGTAGTTAGCATTGCAAGTTCTAGACAGGGAACCAGAAAAAGGTCCGAACAGGGCAAATTTCAGAACATCTTTCCCGAAAGGTGGTTCTAACAAGCTTGCTGC